ATGAGCAGCGGCGTGGCGCCGGTGCAATTGGGTTGGTTGACCGCCGCGCTGACCTCGAGGAGCAGCCGGGCGCACTCGAGGTGGTTGTTCTGGCACGCGATCCACAGCGGCGTGACGCCAGTATGGTTGGCCTGGTCGACCGAAGCGCCAGCCTCGAGGAGCAGCCGGACGCACTCGAGCTGGCCCCGCTGGCACGCGACGAACAGCGGCGAGAAGCAGCCGTCCGCCGCTTGGTTGACCGCCGCCCCAGCCTCGAGCAGCAGCCGGGCGATCTCGAGGTGGCCGAACTGGCTCGCCATGAACAGCGGCGTGGCGCCGTCACCCGCGGCCTGGTTGACCGCCGCGCTGGCCTCGAGAAGAAGCCGGGCGCACTCGAGGTGGCCCTGCTCGCACGCGATGTACAGCGGCGTGACGCCATTATCCAGGGCTTGGTTGACCGCTGCGCTGGCCTCGAGGAGCAGCCGGGCGCACTCGAGGTGGCCCTGCAGGCACGCCATGCTCAGCGGCGTGGTGCCATCGTTCAGGGCTTGGTTGACCGCAGCGCTAGCACCGCACAGCAGCCGGGCGCACTCGACGTGGCCCTCTTGGCACGCGATGAGCAGCGGCGAGATGCCGCCGCCCCCGGCTTGATTGACCGCCGCCCCAGCCTCGATAAGCAGCCGAGCGATGTCGAGGTGGCACTCTTGGCTCGCGATGAGCAGCGGCGTGAAGCCGCCACCCGCCGCTTGGTTGACCACGGCATTGGCGTGAAGGAGCAGCTGGGCGCACTCGAGGCATCCCTTAAAGCACGCGAGGAAGAGGGCGGACGCGGCGTCGCAGTCAGCCGCCCCGACGCTCGCGCCGGCTTCGAGCAGCAGCCGCACCGCCTCGGCCTGCCCGTGCCGAGCAGCCCAGGTCAGCAGCGTGTCCTTAAACTCGGTCTCGAGCCGCGCGTCGAGCTGAGCCGCGAGCGGTGTGCCGCGCGTCCGCCCCCCGGAGAGGAGGGCGCGCAGCGAGGCCAGGTCGCCCTTGGCCAGCGCCGCGAGGAGGGTTGGGCTGGCGCCGCTCATAGTGTACACCGTGCGCCAAAAAGAAAAATGTGTTCAACTAACGGTGTGGGGGCGCGGAGGGCTTGTTGGCGAGCCAAAATGGTGTTTTCCGAGGCGCTGCGCTAGGCTCAGAGCGAGTTCGCGCTGCGCTAGGCTCAGACGGCGAGTTCGCGCTGCGCTAGGCTCACAGATGCGAGTGCGCTGCGATAGAAGAAAAAAACAGGGTCGAAACGACAACCGAAGGGAGGACTGTGTAGTGTAATCATGTGTCAAGAATCACGTGCTGCTGCTGCTGCTGCTACTGCTGCTGCTGCGCGGCGAGCGCCGTCGCCGAGGCGGGCCTCGGCGGAGAGCGCGATTATGCGGCCTTTTCCGCGACCCGCACAAAGAAGAGGCGCCCTCCGTCAGCCTCGACCTGCCACCGGCTCGCGTCGACCGACCCGGCCGCGTGCCACACCTCCACAGCCCAGTGCGCCAGCCCGCAGAAGTTGCCCTCCTCGATGCCCCATCCCGTGGGCCACGCGGCCAAGGCGGTGCCGAGAGGCGGCGGCGGCGCCGCGGTCGCCTCGAGACGCGCCGCGACGGCGTCAAAGGCGATCCGCCTCGCGCCCGTCGCGGCCGCCTCGGCCAGCAGCGCCTCCCCGGCCAGCCGCGGGAGGTCGCCCTCCGTCTCGAACCAGCACGACGAGCGGCCGTCGGCGCACGCCTCGTCCCACGCCTTGAGCTGGCGGACAAAGGCCGCCAAGCTCTTGAGGCCGGGCGAGGGCGCGGCGGGCGACGGGGCAAGGGAGCAGCCGGGCGAGGAGAGGTAGGAGGTGCTCGCCGGCGAGCGCTCCCGCGCCTGCGAAGGGGCAAGGCCTGAGGGCGGGCGGGCGGTCGGGCGGGCGGGCGCGGGTGGGGGGGATAAACGCTGCGCCGCCAAAGGAACCAGCGACACTGGCCGCGGCTCGTCGCCACGCGCCGGCTCGGAAGAGGGGCTGTCGGCGGCGAAGCAGAGTGGCACGCCTCGCCGCTCGAGCCGCCGACAGCCCCCCTCCTCGACGTGACGGCCGCTCCCGGAGCCGGCCGGTGCGCGCCTGACCCACGCCCCCTCTCGCACCCCTCCGACCCCCCCTGCGCGGCGCACCCGTCCGCTGTGCGCCGGCTCGAGCGCCTATTGCCAAATCGCGACGTTTGAGCGCAGCGCACGCATCCTCTGGGCGCCTGAGCGCGGCGGAATCTTGCCAGAATGTGGCCGCAGGAAGAGCCTCCGGCGGGCCTCCGGCGGACGCCTGGCGGCGTGGCGCTGCGCGCCGGCCTGCGGCCCAGGACCTATTTGACCGCTCGCTACCTATCTGACCGCTCCGAATCCCTTGGTTGGCCCTCGCAGCTGTGATACATGTAGAGAGAGAGAGAGAAAGCTAAAAGTACGTACGTACATGTACAAAAGTGGCGACGCCTCTGGCGGCGCGCCCCCAAAAAATCGGCGCACTCCAAGTACTCCAAGATCCCATTCACCTTCAGGCTTCACGGTCCAGTCGTCTTGAGGTTGAGCATCGTCAAACGCGCCAAAACAAACGTTGATGCAAATTTCCTTCTCCAAGTGCTCCAAGTGCTTCTCGCTCGTGTGCGGGCTCCTTTTACGGCTTCTATGGCCAACCGGATCAACCGTTCACCGATCTCTTCCCCCTTGCTAGACTCTCTACACACACCTGACGTACGGTACACACATGGAGACGGCGGCGGACGCGTCACTCAAGACGTCAGGCGTCAGGGCGCGAGCTCCTCAAAAGAGCCGCGGCACCAGAGGCCGCTCGCCCGACACCACCTCGAAGGTGGAGTAGATGGCGTCCCAGTTCTCGTACGACACCTTGGCCACCGCGGCCAGCGTCGCGAGGGCGAGCGCCTGCTTGACGACGCGCTCCACCGGCTCGACGAGCTCTCTCAACGCGCTGAGCCCCACCGCAACCACGCCGAGGCCGAGTGCGTAGGGCGCCATCGCGCGGACGATCGCAGCGGCGAGTGTGTCTGCAGACGGCACCTGCGGCAGCGTGATGCCCGCCGCCTTGACCGGCGCAGGCGGAGGAGGCTCGTCGATCAGCGAGGCTGCCCCTCGAAACGCGGCGGCGGCGCCCGAGGCGAGTGAGCGCGAGCCCTGCTCCGCTGCGCGAGCGAGCCCCGCACCGACGTCGGGCGGCAGCTCTCCCGTCTCGTAGACGGTCCGCGCGGCGCGGGTCACCACCGGCGCCACCTGCTTGCCCGCCTCGAGGCCCTCGGAGGCAATCCTGCTCACGACCGGCGCAGCGGTGGTGGCCGCCTTGCCGCCCACAGCCGCCGCCGTCGCCGCCGCCTTGACGGTGATCTCCCCGACCTGCGCCGCCACGCGTCCCGACTTTTCGACCGCCTGGCGGGGAGGGAAGACTGGCTCGTGCGACGGAGACGCGTGGCGGGCCGACTTGGGCTACTTTGCACCGACTACAGCCACGCGCGCGGCTGCGGCGCAACGGCGAGTGTGGCGCTGCACCGGGTGGTGGGGGGCCCATCGTGTGCTCTGTGGCGTGGTCCGGTGCCGTGCGTCGCGGTGCGCAAAAGTGTGCGCTGCCGCCGGGACCTGCAGTTGCTCGGGCGTGAGAGCACCGCTCAGCGCCTTGCCGACCGTGCTGCCGGTGGACTGGAGCACTGGCTTGGCGGCCTCCACGCCCGCGGCCAGCTTCTCGGCAACAATGGGCGCCTGCTTCTGCGCCACGTCCGCCGCCTGCTCCGCCGCCGATTGGATGACCGGAGCTGCCACCCGGCCGACCTCGGGGAGCGCCCTCGCCGCCTCCTCCGCACCGAGCCGCAGCTGCACCGCACCATCCGATAAGATGCCTACACGGCAGCAGTGGGAGCCTCAGCCGAGCGTTTCCTCTCCGGAAGCAGAGGTCGAGTGCGAGCACCGCCAACCACCGCAGCCGGATCGAGGCAGGTTGGAGCGGTCGTGATGCGGCGGCTGGCAGCAGGCAGCCCAGAGATTCGACCCGCACGGCCGTGGAGCGCCGCGACGGTATGAACAATTAGGAGGTGCATCGAGACGAGCAGCGAGTGGTCGATTAGCGTCTGTCTGTGGCGGCAGCGCAGCGACCTGCCTCAAGAGTCGGAAATGAGTGGGAAAAAGAATTCTTGAGATACAAGCCTCTCTCACAGCACACTGGCACGACAAGGGCGCAGACTGGCGCGGACTGGCACACACACAGGCTCACCACCGGAGCCGCCTAAGCGACTCCGTTAAGAACGGCAATGCACTCCGCACCATGCACAATGCCGCTCTCCCCGCACGCTAGCTCGTTCACCGTCTGCCACGCCACGGCGGTGTGGAGGACGACAGACAAGCGCTGCATCTGCAGCCCGTGCCAGTTCTTGGTGGTCCATGTGACCTCGTCCAGGTGCTGAGCGTGCGAAAGTTTATTGCTCAGCTGGTTCGCCGCCTCCCTCAGGGTGCTGCGAACCTCCTTTCCAAAGCCTCCGAAAGCCTCAAAATCAAACAAACGTAGATCGCAATCCTGCTGCCGCGCAAAAGGGTAATCGCCAGGCTGCTCCGTGAGCTTTCCCTTGGGGGCATCCTCCTCCTCCCCCTCCTCCCCCTCCTCCTCGGCCTCCTCCTCCTCCCCCGCCACCGCCGCTGCCGTCGCTTCCGACGGAGACCACTTGCCGCGCCCTTTGACCAACTTGAGCAGCCCGGTCTCCGTGTTGCCAAAGCGCACGTAGGCCCCCTTCCAGCCGAGCTCTCCGTCGCCGGCCGTGTCCTTGCCCGTGCTCGCAAGCGAGCTCGTGAGCTTCAAATCGGCAACGAGGCGCCTGTGCCCCCTGCCGATGTTTGCCGCCGCCACAGCGAGAGGCACGGAGGCATCAAGCAGTGATCGCCAGTCCTCTGGAAAGCCATTGGCGGCGGCGGTGAGGGAGGCGGCGAGGGAGGCGGGCTCGGTGGCGGCGGCGAGGGAGGCGGCAAGGGGGCCGGGCTCGGCGGCGGCGGCGAGGGAGGCGGCGAGGGAGGCGGGGAGGGCGGCGGCGGCGAGGGAGGCGGCGAGGGAGGCGGGGACGTATGGTTCTTTTCTCCCGTGGTGTACCTGTGTTAGTGCCAGTGCGCGCCTGCCCAGTGTTGTGCGACGGAGGCCCGTGTAAAATTCTTTTCTGCTTTGAGAGAGAGTTCGAGTTTCAAAATTCTTTTCTCGCGATGTCCACCCCGCCGCGCCGCTCGCACAGCCTTGCGCCCCCCGCCGCTACACCCTCTCCCTCGCCAGAGACGCCGCCGCCCGCCTGCCTCCTCGACCTCCCCACGGACCTCCTCGAGCGCGCCATCTCTCGCTGCGACAGCCCCGTCGACATCGCTCGCGTCGCGGCCGTCTCGCTGCTCTTCCACGCCTCACTCGCGGAGGAGGGCATCCGCTTGTGGGCGCAAGAGCGCGACTACGAGCTTCCGGCGCAGCCAGAGGGCGAGAGCTGCGCCGTGCGGTGGCTGTGCTTCGCTGCGCTGCTGCGCGCGTCCAACCCGCTGGCGAGGGCTGCAGCAGGCTGCTATCACAGCGTCTTCATCGACGGCGAGGGGCGGCTCTCGTCGTGCGGCTGTGCGGAGGACACCTTCTATCCAGGACTACTCGGCCACGGCGAGGGCGTGACGCAGCTTAACAAGCCGACCCGCCTTCCGTCGACGCTGGGCGGCGAGCGTGCCGTGGGCGTGTCAGCTGAAGAGTACCACAGCCTCGCCCTCACCGCCGGCGGTGCTGTCTGGAGCTGGGGCTCCCCATATTGGTCCTGCGGTGCCCCAGCAGGCCGGTTGGGCCACGGCGACGAGGAGGAGCAGTGGCAGCCGAAGAAGGTCGAGGCCTTAGCTGGGCGGCGCGTCGTCGCCGTGTGGGCGGGAGGCGCCCACAGCCTCGCCCTCACCGCCGATGGCGCTGTCTTTACCTGGGGCGATGGCGAACGCGGCTGCCTAGGCCACGGAGAAGACCTGTCGAACCAGCAGCTGCCCAAGAAGGTCGTAGCCTTGGCGAGTCAGCACGTCGTCGCTGTCGCGGCTGGATTGGTGGACAGCCTCGCCCTCACCGCCGATGGCTCGGTTTGGAGCTGGGGCTATGGAGGGGGAGGCCGGTTGGGCCACGGCGACGAGCAGGACCAGCTGCTGCCGAAGAAGATCGAGGCCTTGGCTGGCCAGCGCGTCGTCGCTGTGTCGGCAGGAGGCACCCACTACCTTGCCCTCACTGCCGACGGCGCCGTCTGGAGCTGGGGCTATGGAAGGGAAGGCAAGTTGGGCCACGGCGACCTGCAGGACCAGCTGCTGCCCAAGAAGATCGAGGCCTTCGCTGGGCGGCGCGTCGTCGCTGTGTCGGCTGGAGGCGAACACAGCCTCGCCCTCACCGCCGACGGCGCCGTCTGGAGCTGGGGCGATGGAGATGATGGCAAGCTGGGCCACGGCGACGAGCAGCGCCAGCTGCTGCCAAAGAAGATCGAGGCCTTTGCTGACCAGCGAGTCGACGCTGTGTCGGCGGGAGTATGGCACAGCCTCGCCACTACCGCCGACGCCGTCTTTGCCTGGGGCAAGGGCAAGGAGTATGGCGAGGGCGGCGGCGGCTGCCTAGGCCACGGAGAGGACCTGTCGAACCAGCCGCTGCCCAAGAAGATCGAGGTGTGGGCGTCGGGGCAGTGGGGTATCGGGGCGTTAGTTAGCGCCATGCAGGCGCCATGGGAGAGCTTTGGTCTCCAGACCTAAAGCCGTGTCTTAAAGGTTTGGTAAGGTAAGGTAAAATTTCTCCACACAGGCACAACACAAAGTGGTGGGGCTGACTGTGGCTGGTGCTGGTGGCTGATGAGGTGCCATATCGCATATGGTGGTTGGTGGGGCACATACATGGGGAGGGGCAGGGGGTCGGGGGGTGGGGCAAGACCCTCACATCTCACCCCGGACGGCTAGCCGGACACGGGCAGCGCATACTGCCATACACCCGTCACCGTGTATTACAGGGTCTACTCTGAGTGAGATGGACCGCACTCCAAGTTCCAAGACCGCGCGCGGTCACGCAGCGCTCCCGCCCCGAGGAGCGAGCAGGTCCGCCCCGCAGCTCCCGGCTCCCGCCGGTGTAACTTCTTTAAATGCAGAACTCCTACGTCCTAGCACCTAGCCCGTCTCGTTCTCTCCCACTGCTCCCCACCCCTCTTCCTACGGGGAGTGCTTCGCAACGCGGCCTCACCCGCGTAACACCGCCCGCCTGATCCCGCCGACCGCGCCCGGCAGCGTACGCACCGCCGCCTTGCAAAACGCAACCACCGCGACGCGGAAGAAGAGCAAACCCACGGCGCCGATCGCCGCGGCGCCCCTCCAGCCCGCCCTCACCTGCCGCTGCAAGTGTGACGCGACGAGCACCCGCCGCACGCCCGCTAGCCGCTCGGCCCGGCGCCGCCGCAACGCCTCGCTCGCCGGACTGACAGGCAGCTGCTCTGGCGGCGGCCGCCTGCGTCGGGAACACGCCAGAGTGAGGGGTCCGCGCCCGTGCCTTCGGCGCATCGCGTGAACACGTGTCCTCTCCACAGCTGGTCAGAACACACGGGTCTGTACTCGGTGTCTAGGGGTGGAGGCCGCTCGTGCTTCGGCGGCGGCGAGAGGGCGGCGGCGAAGCGCTGCGTGAGCGACTCGGCGAGCATGCGGACGCCGAGGCGGCGGAGGTGGCGCGTCTTGCGCGAGGTGGTGAGAGTCGTGAGGAGCTCGGTCGAGTCGAGGTCGCGCGCCTGCGCCGTGAGTACGGCATTCACTCCTCGGATCTCGGGGGGGGGGGGGGGGGGAGCACAGCTGAGCACAGCTGAGCACAGCTGAGCACAGCTGAGCACAGCGGAGTGCGTGTCCTCTCGAGGGCCCGTTTGAGTACACGGGTCTGTGTTCGCATCTAGGGCTGCGGGCGATGCGGCGCAGCGTCGCCCCTCCCGGCGAGCCTGCGACAAGACGGGGGTGGGAGGGTGAGGACCGCAAGTTGCCAGCAACCACTGCCGCGTCGACGCGGACCGCGCGCCCGGGGCTCCCCACGCCGAACGGTTTTGAAAAGGGGGGGGGGGGGGTCGCCGGGGCACGGTGTCCGTGAGGCTTGTCCAGATGTAGAGAGGTGGGGGAGGTTGGGGGTTTGGGGGGGAGTTGACG